TGCGTTGCACGCTAACCAACCGAATTAAGCAGTCAAGTGACCATGTGCACGATGTGCACCTCTAAGCGTTAAAAAACGCACAGATAGATATCATCTATGGCTGGTTGGTGCATAGAAGCATAGAAAATTTGCAAAAGCCTTGTAAAAGACCATTGAAATCATTGCCATGGTTTTTGTAACTTCAAGTCTCCCAAGGTCAGCTAATATAAGCATGAACCGGTTCTCACCAAACACGTTTAAATGTTATTCCGATTCAAGACTAATAACATTACGAAAGAATGAAAAAAACTTTGCAAAACACATTTTTCAATTATGTCTGTGTATGTGGAAAAAAAAATTAAGTAAATAAATAAATAAATAAATAAACATTGCAACGAATTCGTAAATTTTCAATATACGCGTCTAGACATTACATCGTATGGACTTTGCGTACGAATTTTCGAGCACGTGGTAGCTAATCCAATATCTCGAAGAATTTTCCTAATAGTTCTTAAGTATTTCGCTGTTGCCTCTGTTTTCTATTAATTGATTTTCTGTTTCTTTTTTTTTGATTTTACATTTTATTATTTATTTATCTCTTGTGTGTGTATTTGTCATTTGCTGTCTACACCTTGGGTTAATAAGATTCACAGCAAATACAATTAAATAAACGCGTATCGTTTTAATTATTAAGTATAGGGTCTTCCAAAATTTACCCAAGATTGGAATGAAATAGAAAACATAGGCATCTTTTTTTTATAAACATAGGTTAGTAGGTTAGTATATCGGGCAAGTGGCCTCCACGACTTTTCTCTTTGTTCTTTGCTCTGAGAAGTTCTGATCACTGAAACGTGAAAGTACGCGACCACGGAATGTCGCATGCAAGTGATTGCATTCTTTTTGACGCGATGTATGACATGTGACGAAATATCATCGAATTTAGGCGAAAAAAACGGGATTATGATAGTTCAATAACGAGGATCAGTAGCTGCCGTTGACTGACCAGTCTAATTTTCGAAGAAGCATAGTTCGATGATGCCTCCTGCACAGGCTCCAGGCGTTGCTCTCTCATGATGTGTCAATTTTCGGACATACTATCTAAAAAGTGCTCGCACGTATTTTGATCAGCGACATCTATTGCTGAAAGTGATAAAGTAATGCGAATAAATTAATACGAATAACGGTTAAATTCAATGATTTTGAGCTTTCTCTACATAAAATAATAGCTTTTTCCATTTAGCATTATTGAGTTATTCAATGTACGCATACATTAATCGTGGAGAGCTTAAAACTTACTCTTTAGATATTCATTAATTTCGTTGTTTGATTTGAAGAAACCTGCGTCCGAAGCCCATCAAGTACTTTCACAAGCATATGGCGATGCTGTTCCATATATCCCAGTTGTTGGTTTTGGTTGAAACGTAGCAATTTTGATGTCAATGCCAAAGAACGACCTGGAGGCTCAAAAACAATCAAAGACAATAAGTCGACGAATAAAAGGACGAAGACCCATCTCAAACTCTCAAAGGGAGATGGGAAAGATCGAAAGGGAGGGAAAATGGCCACCGTACAAATTGACTGAAAGTTCCATTTCGGACCGTTTCAACATGGGGGTTTCATTTCTTGCCAGGCAAAAAAAAGAAGACTTTTCTGTGGCGTATTATCGCTGGCAATGAAAAGTGGATTTACTACGACTATCCCATCCCCATCGTAACCGAAGCGGAACATTCATGGCCAAAAAGCTTTGGCATGCATATGATGGGATTACCATGGTGTTGGGTATTATGAACTGCTAAAACCGAATGAAACGGAATGTTACTGCACATGTCCACCGACGTCAATTGAACGAATTGAACGTTATCTTGTTGCATAAAAGATCAGCAGTAGCGGTTAAAAAACAGCGCTCGGCCACATCTTGGAAGCATTGTCAAGGATACCTTGCTGCAGCTCGAATGGGAAGTTCTACCGCGCCCATGGCACTTACTAGACACACCGCCTTCCGATTACCATTTGTGCACATCGACGCAGCATGGCTTGGCTGGCACGCGGTTTCGAAATGCTCAAGAACGAAATGCGAAATGCGATGAGTCGATTATTGGATCGCTGCCAAATCAATATCGTTCTCCCGACACGATATCGCCATGTTGCCAGAGAGGATGGAAGAAACTTGTAAACAATGATGGAAAGTATTTTGATTAATATGCGTATTTTGCCAATTTCTCGCAATAAATCTTTGTTCCTTTTCAAGTGAAAAGATGATCAAAATGCTTGCGAGCACCTGCTAAGTAAAATTGAAAGGAATGCATAACTAATAAAAGTTGAAGAGACTTGAGGAATTTGAACAAACAAAGGTGTAAATAAATATTTGCAAACATTTGTACTTTGCAAAAAAAAAAAATTAATTATTTATTGTATTTTCACTTTTTCCGGCATTAAACAATCCGACGAAACGTTTAGGAGAAACTTTTTAAAAGTTCGAGGAAAAGCCAAAAATTCGGAAAAGATTAGCGAAAGGCCTTGGGCTTTCATATGCCGGCTGACTGCCGGCGGTGGTAAGCTTTAGTGATCAACTACGTCGTCGACGGTTACCAAGCATTTCATTTTTGCATTTCATAATTGCAGCAAGCATTGAACACGTTGCCATTGAGTTATATAAATTCGGAGTCCGGCCAATGTCGTACTCACACACACGCATGTACACATGCACATAAACACACACACACACACACACACACACAGCACACAGCACATTTTTAATATGAAGCGTTACGAAGCTCAAGCTCAAGCTTATAAGACATCAACGAATGGCGCATGTAAACAATAACAATAACAATAACACCTGACTACGTCGTCGTCTACGACTTGCTGTATATGAAATTCGAAAGCAATGCATAGCGCTTTAATAAACACCTGTAGGTTTCGGTAGATCGAAGCATAGCAGTCGCCGCGCGCGTTAGACGCTTCAAGTTGGTGTTAAAGCAGAAAAAATATTTCCAATAATAAAAAATTGAACGCAGTTATGATTGAGTTATTGTTGCGATAACAATGCCAACAACAGTTCTTGGAGATCGAGCTTTGTTTAGTCAACACCATAAGAAGCAATAAGCGAATCATTTTGAGAAGGACTTCGATCGGGAGAATAACATTTAGGGGTCGATTGTGTTCCAGCAACAACAAAAATAGCGATAACAATAATAATAATAATAAGAACAAGTTAACAAAGGTACATCAAAGTGGACTTTCTTACAGTTAATCTATCGCATGATCCTTTCACTTGTTTATGCTCTATTAACCGCGTAATCGAAATGGAAATATAAGTGAATCTATATCTATATATCTATATATGTATTCATATATATGCTTGGGTGCATGATGATGTGTGTATAAAAATAATTTAATTGAAATCAAGTCAAACGTGACTTGACGTGTAATTGTTAACGAGATTGTGATTTAATTTTTTTTTCTTTTTTTGGATTTTTTCTTTTCCTTTTCCTTTTTCCTTCTCCTTTTGGTTTATTTATTTATTTATGTATGTGTGTGTGTGTGTGTGTGTTTTTTGTTTACTAAACAAGTTTTCTTTTCTTTTCTTTTTTTTTTTTGTTTGTTTTTGTTTCTGGCATACAATGAACAATTTAATAATTACTAGTTTATGAAACAATGCATGCAAGTGTGATAACATTTGTGTTTTAATTACCCGGCGAAAGATGCTGAAAGATCGAAAGTCAATTTTATAATAAACGCCAGTGACCAGCAATTGTTATGCACTAAAATTACAATATTAACTGCATTTCGCTTGCGAAACTAAGCGAAGTACTGAAGCTTTTGTTTATTTTTTCAATGTCAAGATGTGCGAACTCGATCCCCTCTAGCGGCGATTCTTTAAGTACATTCAAATTCACGTTAACAAGTAGATAGATTGTTGGCAATAAAAAAAGTTCATAAAATTATATAAAAAACAAACAGAAATCGCTTTAGGGTGCAGCTTAGAGACCCATGATCTAGAGTTAATAAATGACAAGTGAAAACGTTATGGCTGGGTAAGGCCAACCATTCAAGACCCGACACTACTTGGCGCCATACACTTCTTCATTTATTTTCATGACAAAATATGAAAAATTATACCTTGTGTCCATCATAGAAGCTTTCTGATAGGAGATCCTAGGTTGAAGAGCGCTCAAATGTGATCACATCGTTCATGTGATCTAAATTCAGGGAAAATGATTTCTCTCTTCATAGTAGTCGAGGTAAGGTAGCAGTCACGATTACGAAGTCAATGTTCGCCGACTCAAATGTCAAGTGCGGTAGAGTTGCGGTTATGTTTGGTCGTAGCCAATACCGTTATACAGCATAAAGCGATTATGGGCACACCCACCCCACTGTCTCCACCATACCTCTATCTCTTTCGCTCCGTCATCGTCGAAGATTCGCAAATGAAGATTTATTTCTCAGATGGAAGGGAGGCATCCCAAGTTCAGTCGTCTGTGCGTCTTTGAGAATCCCTATCACGACTTGAAAACTTTTTCTCTTCTACTCTCTTCAATTCAACCAAATCGACCAAAACCCCACAACATATTTTTCTCTTCGTATTTCATCGTCAAAAAGTTTTGGGTGAAAGTCTTCAAGGCAAAGGGCACCAATCACCATTTGATAATCATTCAAGGTTTGATTATTTCTTTGTGTTTATTTAGAGAGAGTGTAGTGCAAAATAGTTTGTGGTATTAGAGTGCGTTTATAAAATATCCAAGAAAGTCGCTGCAATTTTCTTACTTAAATTTGCTTATGATGGTACAGAAATCGTAACACAGTTCATGCCGTCCCATGTTAAACTTGGGCCTGATTTCAAATTTCTAGCCATAAAATATCTGGAAGGTGTTTACATCGAACCTTTCTTCCTCAACGCATTGATTTGCTGACTTGCAGAAGAAGCAGAAGAATACGTAGATGAACAATGACTTTCAAACTTTCACGGAATATATTATGGGTGACTGTGTTTGATTAAGCGATAAAGGTTTCTCAATATTTTTTCCCCGCACTCAATATTATTTTGACGGGCATGTGACAAAACATCAAACATCAAATATTATTGGCGAGGGCAGTGGAGCAAAATGTATTGCTGGCTGGACAAGTGAGTAACATAACAGAAAACAAAGTAAACATTATTAGCATAAAGTGATAGCAAACAATTTAATGGATACATATATAAAAAATACGAATTTCAATTAACCTCATTGCGCGCGTTTAAATACTAATATTATTTAATTCATTTTTTTTTTTTTTTTTTTATGACTTAATACTTGGGGTTACGAAAGAAATGTCGGCAAAATTGTATATCTTACAAGCGAAGGCATGTTAGGTTCACCAGTATGTACGCAAAAGGCAGTGGCATTTGAGCTGGACAGACCTTTACACCAACCGGTTTTAAGTAACTTTCTGAACTTTCCGATTTAACTCAGTCTACTCATTTACCTGTCTAGGGTCCGGACATGGGACCCTACATGGGAAGTGAAGATCGCAATTTCTCGGACGCATATTTTCACTTTGTGAAGAAATCTATTAAAAATCGATTGCCTTGAACTATTCCAACCAACACTCCCCCCACAAACCTTTATTCCTAACAAGTCCTTCAATGAAAACGAAAAATGTCCACATTTAATTCTTCCCGACGAAAATCGTCATTGATTTGTTGAATTGCAAAGAAAGAAAAAGTATTTTGACATATGATATGGAGGTGAGAAGTGTGAATGAGTCGAACCCCTTTTTTCGGAAAGGCCTCGATAAGGATTCTCATAGAAGGATTCTCATAGAAGGAATTTTTGTTTTTTTTTTTTCTTTTGTATATCTATATATGACACTCACAGGGTGTGTCTTAGAGGGATAGTGAACGGAAAGGGCTGTAGGCGAAGAAGAATAGAAGTAAAGAATATAGTGTTTGTGTGCGTTTGATTTAAAAGTGGAAGCATCAGATATGAAGGGAAAGATCCCTGCTGGTAGATTGTTACGAAAGGACGCAGTGTGATTAAGGAATGACGAGTCGCGGTAATGCGTTTTGCTATACACAGACAATTCTGGGACGGGTGGCTGCGAGAGTCTGGGAACAATGTTTAGCTTTTCGTATTTTATGAGGAACAGGTGAAGGCTGAAACACACAAAGCTAAGTTTAAGGCTTGGCTTTGCCCGCCTACCCCTTCTACAAAAAATTAACTAATTTTTTTATTAAACTTTAAATATTTTTTACATTTTTAACTATCTGTTAAAAGTACCCGTTAAGTTAGCCAATCAAATGTTCTCTTTATTACACAACAGATTAAAATTATTATTCTTTGCTTGTTGATTTTTTATGAAGTGCAACTGCATTTATTTAACCATTATCATAACCAAGATCAGATAACACTTTCAAGTTCACGTAGTTAATAACAATCATTATTTCAATAAATACAAGCACGCAAATTAATCTAAGCTTACACTTAACGTTAAATGTTGACTAAGCTGAATGAGAGCCAATTTCGTGCAATAAAATGAGCTCAGCCACTTTTTAGTATGGCAAAGCCCAGGCTGAGAATGATTACAGTAATTACACCCTTCACATTTATGTCGCTGTTCGGCGACTGAACCAAGCTAGACATGAATGGGTATGTGGAATAGTGGCTAACTTGTCTGTTTTATTTTTAAATTGTCAGGCAATTATTAGAAATATGATCGCATAAAGATCATCATGTAAGATTTGTATTTCGCCCGAACACGTACTTTTGTCCTTTCTATTTAATTACAGTTGGACCTGGTTTTGTGCGGTAGAGTTTAGTTTAGGCGAATCGGATAAAACGAATCGCTTGAAAAGTTATGGTATGGCAGAAAAATTGCACAAACCCCCAGAGTAATAGATTCAGCCGTACAAAGTAAACACGATGTCCGTTCACAATGCACACGAGTAAATCCACATAGAGAGCATTTCCATTAACGATCCGGCCAAATCGATAAGAAAAGAGATTTCTTTCATTGCAACCATTGCCGGCGTTGTTGTTGCATAATTTTGAATTATGATTATACGGTGTTTACAGTCAAGTCTTTTGTAATGCGTTTATTTCCTACTACGCTGTATGCAAATTGGGTTATATGAAAGCCAGAATTGAATCCAGTCACGAAATGTGTTCTATGGAGACCGCGTTATAAGATATTCAAAATTAACACGAGTACAATGAATTCGTACCGCGTTTTATGGATACCTGAACAACTCTTATCCACGCCTACAAATAACATTTTTTAATAGAAATTAAGGATTTTCGATTGTCATCATCACTGCGAAATATTTCCTTTTCTTGTAACTAACCGAAAATCGTCTTCACTGTGCAAATTTTCTTCCTTCCATGTTCATTATCGGATCTAAATACAGGAACGTCGCTCCGGTTTTATTTAAAAGTCGAGATATTACTAGACGGGTTGCAGTTATATTTGCTTAATTGTAATGGTATTTACTTTATTAAATCTTATTTGAAATTTTCAATTTTTGCACCCTACATCGCTTGTGGTGAAATAACGTGTACGTATTAAGTTTGCGCGGATATATGCGGCGCTCAGAAGGATTTGAGACAGACCTTCCGGAACAGCTTTTATTGTGGTTGGAGTTTGTCTGTCCGGCAATGTGTCTGTCCCCTTTGGTGTCTTGTGTGCAATCTACAGACCTTAGGCAGACATGTTTGCCGCAATGTAGATCGCTATTGGAAATGTAGCGGATCCCTGTTAACATCTTCCATACAACTTAAGCTTAAGAAATGCTCCTTGCGATCGAGTGTCAATCATCAAATGTTTGCCACCCTTAATTCGCAGATTTTAGAACTTTAGAAAACAGGACTTTAAGATGTGGGTGAAAGGGCGGACAAGTGGACCTAATTATGTACGCATTTTTCAGGTTGTACATCGGATGCGGTTTGCAAGCACACGTACAACAAGCATAAGTACGAAAAATATACAATAAGTACACCGTCTATTTAGAAGATTATAAATGAAGAAATTAAAAAAATTAAACAAAAGTATGCACGCGTATGTGTGTGCATATACGTTTATATGTGTGTGCGTGCGTTGATTTGTGTAAAGTTCCATGTTCTAATAATCATGCTCCCGATGTAAGTGCTGTACAATACAAGCGAAGAATTTCAATTAGGGCCTTTGTCTATATGTAAAATGAAAATGTATTCGACTTTTGGCTTTAGTTTAAAATTCAATTCAAACAAATATTTTCTGAACAGCAAACACACACATCAAAATGCAAATTTAATATTAACAAATGACAAACAAACCTTAATGTAAATAATAATAAACTGTGAGTGCTAGCACTTGTGTTAATACATGTATAATCGAAGGTGAAAGAATCAATAATATATAATGCTGCGGTTCGTCCATTGCCCGATGAATTGACCGCATTACGAATAATGACGATAATGAGAAAATAATTTCTCAGCATGAGAATAAAATTAATAATTCATATTTTTTTCCTTTGACTGTCTATCTACATGTTATTGTTCTCCTTTTTTTCTGTACTTATTGCTTTTGTTTCTTTTTTTTGTAGCCGCCTGAAAACAGTCGCCATACATGACATGATGGAGTCGTCATCAGCATACACTAGTAATTCCAAAGATTTATGGATAGATATACCGCCCGGCAGAGGTAAATTCTTTGTTGAATTACTTTCAAAAATCTCTTCTCCGTTCATTTCCATTTTATTTTATTTAAATTCATTTTCAGATTTCAATGCGAAGCGACCTGTTGCGGACATGACTGCGGACAATGTTGAAATTATTGACGTAGGTAAGCCACGTATTCAGATGAAAAGATTAAATAAGTTCAGTGAAACCGCTCTTATCAGAAATTACTCATAAAGCAATCAATTAATCTCGAAGATTCCTCGTCTCTGGCGATGTTGCGTAAAAATTACAAACGTGTCTGTCTTTGGATTCAGACAGTGCACATTTCCAGAACTGCTTTGTAAAATGTCGTCAAAGCTATATGAGTCAACTTTCAAGTCATCGTTTTAATAGGAAGATTTTATCCTCAGCATTATTGACAGAGCAAGATTTGCTCAACCGCTCAACATGATGACTACTTTATCGAATCTTTTTGATTTACGTTATGGTTGCGTGAACCACTTACTCCTTTATATCAATCGATTCAAACTCATTTTTGGAATTGACTTAAGCTGATCTACTCGTACGCCCGTCCGTCCTTAAGATGTAGTATTTTTAATGATATCGCTTACCCAGCTATAAGGTTTTAAATTGCTTCGATATCATTAACAGCAGCAATTAGACCGTTCCACTTTAACGTTTTTGACCGCTCTGTATGTGTTCACCCGCTTCTCCGCTCTCTTGTGCCTTCATTAATAACCTTCGTTTACGATCACGGTGTCCTTTGTGATTTTTTCAATTCAGTCAAAACAGTGCAAAAAGTCCGATAAGCGTCGAAATGCAGAAAAAATACATCAAATTTTTCCAAAATGTAGGCTGATAGCAACGGAACTTCAAAGACAAAAGTCACTTTTACTTGTTTCCCCATAATTATATCTTTTTACAAAAACTATATCCATTCCACTCCATATTCCATATCTATAATTCGCTGGCACGTCCAAGATATTTTACATCATTCTTGCTTCGCCTTTCTGGTGTTTCTAAAACGTGATCGAGTCAACGGTGTTTTGGCGGGCAGGTACGTTCGTCATTCGTTGCTGAACCAGATAGCACTCGTCGATTTATAGAGTTATAAGCAAATGATAAGCGCATATAAGGGAATACTACAGCCCGTAGAGGGTCTGTACTGAGCTGGAGTACTAGTACTAGATATAGGGGGTTTTCTATGAGCCAAATTCTTTTCTGCGCCCATCTAACATCTTGAATTATTCAGTTCCGCTGCGTAGGATCTCTATCACTCCCACACCATCATTTCGGCCCTCGTAATTCCCATAATTCGGACTGTAATGCTATTGGTTACATTGCATGTAGCCACTCTTGTACTTGGATCGTACACACATTCTAACTATCATGCACTTTTTAAGGTGCTACTAACCATCGACCAGACCTTGTCAGGCACGCAATCACACTGAAAAATTTGTCAGGAAAATGTGGAAAACTTAAACAACAGACTGTTTTTTTTTTGGCAATAAAAAAAATAGACAACCAACCAAATTTCGCAAATCGTATCTCATCTCACAATCACATCCGTATTTTATGCAATTTGCCCGTGAACTCATCGCGACTTTTTGTTACTTCTTTGTTATTTCGGTTGTCTTCCAAAGTATCACCTCTGTTCTGATGTCGCTGTCTCACTCGAACACGCCTGTACGGAACAAGGGCTTGCTTTACCATAAATATTTCTCTTAAAGATTCACTAAATGTAAAAAAGAAATTGACGTGGACTTTTCACGTTTTTAGGGTGATACCACAAAAAATACGGTCGTTTCAAGCTCTGTAACTTAACGTTAATCGAATAGAATGAAAAATTTGTGGGAGATGTACACCGTTTTCAGATAGTATTTTTTTTTAATAAATTGCTAGCGTTAGTAGCTCGTAGTAAATCCTTTCTCTTAATGCTTACTTTAATACGAAGGTGAGAATGATTGATTTTTTGTTCTGGTAACTACAAGTGATGTTCGACCTTCATCTGAAAAGAATTTTCTATTCAGTGCGAAAAAAACTTATTTCAAGTTTGGATTTCTCGATAAACTTTGCGATTGCAATCATGATTTGATATTCATAAGGCTCTTACTATTGTTCCACACCACATCATCCGACTTATCCTGAGTATAATGATAGTACAGTGATGTAGCTTATCACAATATTTTGCTTTTTTTTAGAAATCATCATGTAAAACGGCCTAAAGTCAAAGTCATAGTGTAATTGTACAAGTTTGACGATAAAAATGGCAAACAAATATTCCCTTAAAACTTTTAGCATTTATATTTTACATAAATTATATTATTACATGTACTTAATAATAAAGTTATCATCAAAACATTTCAATTAAGTCATCCTATTTAACCAAACAGACAAATCGGATAATGAATAATGACTAAATTAGCTTATTATCTCATGCTAGTCAAAATACTCTGACGAATGTAACAATTGAAGCGATTTAAAATCTCATGCTACTGAAAGCATTTTATCGCACTGCACAAATGCAAATTTCATATTCTGCTTGCTTCACTCTTTCTTTATCTTATTCTTTAGCTTTCATGAGCTTTAAGCTTAGCTTCAATGCAGTTCGAATTTAGCTTTTACTGAGCTTTACTCCGTCTATTAGGCACATAATTTTATTAGACCGGAAAAGCTACGATACCAAACTGCTCGAAATTTTGAATGAATACTGAATACGTTGTTCAATGGGAAACCAAACCAGCTAAACTATAGTGAGCCGCGATCACTATTGAATACACTACACCATTTCGCTTAATACAGTCATTCATATAACGAGTTTTCAAAATAAGATGTTGTATGGGAAGTGGTCGAAAAAGGGTTCCGATCCGAGCAATGAATGGGATTCGTCCTTGATTCAAAAAATGTCGACTTGCGAAAGTTCATCAGAATATCGCAAAAATTTGCAACCTATAGGATACAAGGGAACAAGACCGATATACGGGCAGACAAGCTTAAATCGCTTCGGAGTATTGCATGTATCCGCACAAACTCAATATGCCCTTGTACCACGAGTGATGTAGGATACAAAGTTATCGAAAAGATTTGTGTAAATAATTATTTGCGCTATGAAAAAGCGCAAAAGTTGAATTCTCAAATTTCTGTTTTTAACGTAAATTTTCTTTTAAAGTTCTCTAGCAATGAGCAGAGTTACGGCAACTTTGTTAAATTGAAAGAGTAACTGCGGAGCAAGTCTGCAACTGGCAGCAATTCTATTAAATTGAAAAGTGAAAACATATTTTTTACCACCATTTTTTTTGAAATATTTTTATATACGCATTTTCCCCATTCCTATTATTCCTTTCAAGTCTTTTAATATTATCCATCTTTCATTTCTCATCTCCTAAATAATTTAAAGGAAAAAAAATGTATATAAAAAATTAACAGAAAAGATAAGAGAATCCCCTGATCCCAATAAAATTCTAATTAATATTAGTGAAAAAAAAAATAAAGGACATAATATATTAGTTTGGGGAAAAAGAAATCCATTATTTTTATATGAACTTCAGTTCTTTATTTAACATGCTTCGGATTGTCCGATTTGGGTCAAATATGCACTGTTTTGTTGTATGATTTGTTGCCATTTTAAAGGTAACTTCAAAATGCCTCTCTCATAGAAGTCCTGGTCTCTATTTGCAAAAAACTCTAGTAGTCGATTTTCACAATCCTCCCTAGATTCCAATTTTTTATCATTAAAGAAATTTTGCAATGCAAGAAAACGATGATAATCGCTTGGTGCCAAGTCCGGACTGTATGGCGGATGCATTGAAACTTCCCAACCAAGCTCCCAAAGTTTCTGGCGAGTCACTGTAGATGTGTGTGGCCTAGCGTTGTCCTGGTGGAACACGACACCTCTCCTGTTGGCCAATTCTGGCCGTTTCTGATCAATCGCTATCTTCAAACGGTCCAGTTGTTGACAGTAGAGATCAGAATTTAGCGTTTGGCCATATGGAAGCAACTCGTAATAAATAATCCCCTTCCAGTCCCACCAAATGCATAGCAAAAACTTCCTGGCCGTTTGAGATGCTTCACCGCTCTTTGACCACGATCGTTTTCGCACAGGGTTATCGTATGTGATCCATTTCTCATCCCCAGTCACCATCCGTCTATCTCATTTCGTTTGGCCAAGGCTTCGCAGATGGAAATTCGATCCATCTGTTTTCTGCTTTGTGTAAATGGTTTAAAACTGTTTTATGGTCGATTTTTAGCTCCTGGGCGATGTTACGACTGCTAACATGCCGGTCAACTTCGATCATTTCTCCGATTTTATCGACACTTTCGACGACCGGCCTACCTGTGCGAGGTGCATCTTTAACATCAAAAATTCCTGAACGGAAT